AGGGAGGGCGGAGGCAGAGAGAAGGGAGGGCGGAGGCAGAGAGAAGGCAGGACGGAGGACGGAGGAGCGAGCCCGGGCACCGCAGCACTCGGCAGGAGGCGGAGCAGGGAGCCTGAGCGCCCACACACACACAGACCACAGGATGCACCGACGCCGGCCCGGGAATTGCTACTTTATGGCCCGGGGGCCAGCCGCGGTCACCAACGGGGCGGAGACAGCGCCGGCCAATGAGGAGCCGCCCCGAGCCAGCCCCCGCCGCTCATTGGAGGGCGCCGGAGGCGTTCCCTGACGTCCGCAGCAGCTCCGACCTGCGGTCAGTCCCTCCACCTGGCTCGGTTCCCGGGGTCCCGAGGGTGGAGCCGGACCTGGAAGGGGCCGGGCTTGTCCCCGCCGCCCGAGACTGCGATTCCTTAGGAGGTTCGCGTCGGGGGGGGGGGGATACCGAGGTCAAGGTCAACGGCACACGTACCCCACCCCGCCCCCAGCTGAACGCCCACCCACCCTTTGCCCCTGCTGGCCTTGAGGAAAGGATGCACTGGGCCTGTCGCCCCACCCCATCGGGACCATCTGAGCTTGCAGGCTGGTGGCTTGAATTTCTCTTTTACCCGCAGTGTTCTGGGTAGCACACACTGGCCTTCCTCCCTGATCTCCGCTTTGGGTTTTCCTAACACTGCTCTCTGCTGATTTCTACTCCGACCTTTGAGACCTTTCCTCTTCAGCCCACTTTGCTCAGTCTTCATCCATGGCAAGCTTACTCACCAGCTATCAGCTGGACATTTTGAACTGGATGTCCTGTAAGCATCTCGAATTCCACGTGTCCCAAACAGAGCTCATCTCCCCGCACCCCTCAAAAGCTTTCTCCTCCTCTGAACTTTCCCGCTGTGGTGAAAGCCTCTCAACTGGAGTGCCATTTGGGACTGTTCAGTCTTACTCACCCCTCATATCCAATCTGTTGTCTAGTCTGGTTATTTTTGCCTTCGAAATCTCTCTAATATAAATCCCCTTCTCTGCTCACATACTCAGACTTGTTTCCCAAAGCAAACAGTCCAGACCTGACCTACTTTCTTGCCATCATGGTTGATAACTCTCAGGAAGGAGGTTTGGGGGAAATATTGTATATGAAGCTCCACTACAATCATCAGATAGCGAGTGGAGGAAGAGAGTGGGAAGGAACAAAGAGATCTGGACAATTTGCAGTTTAAAAAGCAGGATTGTAAGGAAGTAAAGGGAAAAGAAGCAATGTGCTCTGAAAAGTTACTGGAATAGATTAGGGGTATTTTAATGAATGATTTTCAAAGGAGTCGCCCAAAGGAGAAACGAGGTAAATGTTAGACAGTTTGGGTTGTATCTTAACCAGATCCCTTTGCAGCGTCTTTGTATCTTCCCCAGAACCCAGCACAATGCTCCGTGTATCATCATAAGTGCTTAATGAAAGAGCTGATAGGTGCAGCTAGGTGGTGCAGTGGATAGACAAGCTATTGTCTCTGGCCTTGGAGTCAGAAGGACCTGAGTTCAAATCCGGTCTCAGACACATAACACTTACTAGCTGGGTGACCCTGGACAAGTCACTTAACCCCAATTGCCTCACACACACACACACACACAAAAAGGAAGAAAGAGCTGACATAGGTGAAAGCCTTGAGTGTTGAAGCTGGATTCAACTCCTGCCTCTCACCTGGAACCAAGGACAAGTCCCCTCACCTTTCTGAGGCTCCATTTCCTCATGGAGAGAATGCCTGGAGTACTCTTCTCACAGAATTGTTAGGAGGTTCAAATAAAACAGTGCCTTTCCACAGATTAGAATCTTCGGGAGCATTATATACAAGTGTTACTAAGGAAGGACTGATGGACTGAATTGGTATAATTACCTAAATTTGGGAATTATATAATTATCACTGTTAAATTTTGTTGAATTGTACTCTTAGCACTAGGTTAGGTTCTTGGCCACAAAGTAATCCTCTGCACTGTTCTGTCCACATAATTAGCCTGTTTAAAAAACTCCATTAGCTCCCTGAAAATCCTTGAAATACTTGAGAACCACCTAAGGCATTTAGATGCACCACATATGGAGGGCTGAACTTGGAGGCAAAAGGAAATTCAAATGCTGCCTCAGAAACTTGCTAGTGGTATAACTCTGGGCAAATCACTTGACCTCTGTTTCCTCATCTGTAAAATGGGGATAATAGCACCTGCCTTTCGGGTTTGTGGTGAAGACAAAATGGAATAATATTTGTAAAGCACTATATAAATGCAAGCTATTATTATCACTACAACCTTTTCTGTTAGACATTTAAAACCTTTCATAACCTGACTCCAGTCTATCTTTCCAGGCTTATCATACATAATCCCCCTTAATGAACTCTCTGGCATCTTCTTTCTGTATCTCATACATGACATTTCATCTCCCATTTCCTTATTTTTTTATTTTTTAAATAACATTTTATTTTTTGCCCAATTGCATATAAAAACAAATTTGAACATTCATTTTTAAGATTTTGAGTTTCAGATTCTCTCCCTCCCTCTTGAGACTATCTTTTTTTTTTTCAATCAATAAACACTTATTAAGAGCCTACCGTGTGCCAGGAACTATGCAAGGCATTAGGGATCAAAAGGCAAAAGTACGACAGTCCTTGATCTTAAGGAGTTTATGTTAACATTTTTATTTAAAGTTTTGAGTCATGTATTTGGAGGTCAAAATTTTTATTCAGCTCTAATCTTTTCATTAGAAATGCTTGAAAGTCCTCTATTCCATTAAATGTCCATTCCCCCCCCCCAAAAAAAAGATTATATTCAGTTTTTCTGGGTAGATGATTCTTGGCTGAAATCCCAACTCCTCTGGCTTCTGGTTTTCCAAGTTCTCCAGTTCTTTAACATGGAAACTGCCAAATCCTGTGTAATCCTGACTGTAGCTCCACCATACTTGAATTGTTTCTTTTTGGCTCCTTGTAGTACTTTCTCCTTGATCTGGGAGCTCTGGAATTTGGCTCTGATGTTCCTGTGAGTTTTCATTTGGGGATCATTTTCAGGCTGTGATGGGTGGATTCTTTCAATTTCTATTTTGCCCTCTGTCTCGAATATATCAGGGCAATTTTTTTTTTATAATTTCTTAAAAGATGTTGTCTGGGCTTTTTTTTTTTGTCATGCCTTTCAGGTAGTCCAATAATTTTTATATTATCTTTCCTGGATCTATTTTCTAGGCCAGTTGTTTTCCAATAAGAAATTTCATATTTTCTTCTTTTTTTTATTTTTTAAATTTTGTTTCCTTATATCTTGATGTCTCATGGAGTCATTAGTTTCCACTTGCTCAATTCTAATTTTTAAGGAATTATATTCTTCAGTGAGCTTTTGTACTTCTTTTCCATTTGGCCAATTTATTTTTTAGGGAGTTATTTTCCTCAGCAAATTTTTGTATATCTTTTCCCATGATATTGACTTCTTTTGTCATGATTCTCTTGCATTATTCTCATTTCTTTTCCTAGTTTTTCTTCTACTTCTCCAATTTGCTTTGTAAAATCTTTTTTTAAGCTCTTCCAGGAATTCTTTTTGGGTCTCACCCAAATTACATTTTTCTTTGAGGCTTCACATGTAGTCATTTTGACACTGTTGCCTCTTTTAAGTTTATGCCTTGATCCTTCCTATCACCATAGTAACTTTTTTTTTTTGCCTTTTTTTGTGACTTGGTATTTTTTTATGTGAGTGTTGGGCTCTGGTCCTATACTATCCAAGCTTTTTGTGCTAAGACTGTGGGTCTTATTGCTGGCTTTCACTGGGTTTCAAGGCTTAGCTGCTTCCTTTCTCTGGAGGGTAGGTTTCCCCTCTGGCTTGTATTGCAGAGTGGGGCCTTGCTACTGGGTTGCTATGGAAACAGAGTCTTTCTACTGGTAGGCCCCAGAGGCAATGGATTCACTATTGGTCAGCAATGGGGTCACTGGCAAGTCGGGGGCCTTGCTGTGCTACACAGACTGCTCACTTGCCTAGGGGGCTGCTGGTTTGCAGGAGGGCAGGTCCTCCTACAGGTGGATTGCCCAGGTTTGGAGCTTTGCTGCAGGCACTCTGCTGTGAGGCTAAGTGCTCCTGCTGCTGCCCTTAGACCTCAATCCCTTGCCACCCCAGTGGGACAGACCTTTCTTGCTGGACTGGTAAGCTGCTCCCCTGCTCCTAGGTCAATTATGAGGTGGTTTCCTACTTGTTTGGAGAGGAATTCGGAAGTGCTTCAGAGGGTTCCTTCCTCACTCCACCATCTTGGCACTGGAAGTCCCCATTTCCCTACATTTTTTAAAAGTTGCTCCCATTCCTGGAGTGTGCTTGCTCTTCACTTTTACCTCTTAGCATCCCTCCTTGGCCTCAAAGCTCAGCTGAAGAGCCACCGCCTCATAAGATGCTTCTAGACCCCCTCAGCCGCTGGTACCTTATCCCAAATTACCTTGTATTTATTTTGCATATACATATATGAGTGCATATAGTTTCCCCCTATAAAATGTAAGCTCCTTGAGGGAAGGGGCTAGCTCATTTCTGTCTTGTTTCGTTTTGTTTTTTTAAATCATCCCTAGCACCTAGGACAGTGCCTGGCATATACTTAATAAATATTTGTTGAGTGATTGATCCATTGCTATTTCATCTTTATATGGATATATGGACATCTTTATATGATTTTTCCCTTGATAGAATACGTATTCCTTGAAGGCAGGACTTATTTCATTTTTGTCTTTGTATTTCTGATGCACAGCACTAGGCACATAGTAGGCACTTAATAAATGCATGTTGATATGATAAATGCATGTTGATATGATAAATGCATTGATCCCCAGCAAGTAGCTCCCCATTTCACTTCTGCCTAAGGAACTCCACTGAGAGAGAGCTCAGGATCTACCATCATACAAGGGCTCCTCCTGATGAATTCCTGAAACATTTCCTTTCAGATTCAGATAGAAAAGACTTAAAACAAAGAGCTTTAGTAGAAGTCTGGG